GTCGACTTAAAGCACGCGGTCAACAGTTTTGCATGAGGCTTTCTGAAGCAACCAATATTTAGCAGATTCATCCCTCAGTTCATGGATGACATACAAACAGGATGTTTGTTTTGTGGGCTTTCATGGAAAGCAGATGATTGCTCCTATGCATAAACTGATTGGCTTATTTAGTAAAATGACGAGGGTGCAGTATCAGGTGAGAACTTTTGCCACGTAGTAAATGGTGGCAGAAAAATTGCATTAGGCTGCGACATCAGGTGATAATTTCGTAACAGAAAAGCTACCAGGAAGCACGCGTGTATGACATTAATGTATTTTTGGTCACAGGCACTCCATACTGACGGTACATTTCCCACCGCATGGCTTGCTTGCACAATGCCTTGAAGTGGGTTTGTTGTTCAATATAATACCAGCACATGGGATCCGGGAAGGTCTGCAAGTGCTGCGCCACACCTACCCGCGATTCGCTCCTTATTTTACGTCACCATCAAAAGGTCGGTACACTCACAATCCGAGATACTCAACTCGGAAAATGCGACCAACAGCCTTCTGGAGAATGTAAGCAGTCACATGAAAAACCGGATGCGCCCTTCGGAAACAGTAGAGCACAGCGAACCTGTGTTCCGGCACGCCGAGTGACTCGCGCGAGTATTTGAGATGCATACATCACTGCGACCGATGGGAAATGCTGGAGTGCAATGGCTACATTCCAAACGTTGTCCGCTGAATGACTAAGTATGCACTTTTCACTCGTTGTGAGGCACCTGGGTGAGCGCGAATCCTAGGGCTGTACTATCGTAGTGTTCAAGCAAACAGGGTGAGGTCATTCACGTTTAACCAAACCGTAGTTCGTGGCACAAACACCAAGGTGCTCCCAGACGGTCGACAAGTGCCGGAGAATTCATATGCTCATTCGATCAGATGATGTAAATCAACTTTGTCCGTTTGTTCTCTGTATTTAGAGATCATTAGGTTGCAAACAGTAATTGATCTTTCAAGCATTTCTTCTTAGGTTCCTTCCCAATCCACCAATTTTGACTGTCGGATTGCAACCTTCCGGAAAGAGATGTATCTCTTACACTTGTTCGCAAGCCACAGCCGGCAGCTTTCGACTTTCTGCGTAAACAACCAGCCCGATAGTGGGTATGCTTCGGGAGCTGGAACGCAGGAGGCAGTCGATTGTTTGGGGGCATAGCTACTTGCTCCAGGGCCCGACCTCTGTCAGTGACGGTCTGTCGTCGATGGTCGAGGATACTTCACCTCACCTCGGTCTTGGACGAAGACTTGGGTCATTGCGCGCTCTGTTGTGGTGACCGTTGGTATGCATGTCATGCTGACTCTTGCTGTGGTGATCGCTGCCGATTGTGCAGCAATGTACTTCAGGCTTGCCAAAAGATGAGTCCGCAGACGAACAATTTATCTTCGTTCCTAGGCCCCGGTCCTGTGCAGAAAGCACCATGTTGCGCCTGTTAACAGGCCTGCAAAGAAGGTGCCTCACGCGATTGGCCTGGACCGAAGCACAGCTTTCCAGTTTGCCCCGAAAGTATGTGTATATCAGTATGTTCGGGTTCAGGGAGGAGCTAACTGACAGCCCTAAGTAAGTGTCTGACGACTACTACCAACACTAAAGACCGCCATCTGGATGAGGGAGACAAACATGTGCATAACATACATACACCGTCATCTCCAGAGTGTAGGTTTCATATTTCTCGAAAGCTAGGAGTAGCAGCTAACAAGCCACAGGAAATCACGCAATGAGAACCAGTCTTTGAAGATGGCATTGTGTAAGCACGCGTCTGTGGTTTTGTTGTCACCGAGGTGTTTTCTCTATGCGATAAGTATTGCTCCTCGTCCAACAACCGACTGATTCATAGTGACAATTCGATAGCCCAACATTTCAAAGCATCAATAGTTCAATGAACATGCATACCAAAAAGGCCATATATGTCTCGGCATGACATATGTACTGGTCAAAAAGGGCCAACAAAATTCCATTTAGTACGGTTTAGACCTTCCGATGTTCCCCAATGTAGATGGACGGTTCGTTCCCCGGTCCGCTATGATCGACGAAATTTCCATGTGGCCAGTGGATTAAGCATCATGGACCTCTACCAGCGTATTAGTCGTGTACGTAAGTTAAGTAAGTTCTCCTGTCTTGATGATGGACGCCATGGTCGTCCTGACGTAATATGCCGCCCATAATGGAGCATTTCACTGTTTAACAACAAACATGCATGATTTATCTGATAATACTGGATGCGACTTCCGAGATTCCAACTTCACAAATTTGACATCCACCAGATCCGCGTAGTTTATAGAACATTATTCGAAGTATTTCGGATGCAGAACTATCAACATGTTACGTTCAATGTAAGTGATCCAACTTTATTCCGCAACTCGCGATATCTTGCTACATTAGGTACCGTGTTCACAGTCGAGAGCGTTTGGCGACCTTAAAGTTCTGTCACTTAAATAACCCATGTAGATAATTTGCAGAATAATTCATCTCCATAGACATTCTGCACCAGAAAGTGGCAACCCTAAGAATGTCGTAGTTTTCGAGAAAGATCGAGAAATCAACTCAATCGCGCGAAATTTCGGCCGTCTAATGCATCTTGTATTGCAGGCGCACTTTCGAGATCACCGTCCACCTGCCATTTACTGGAGTCATCATCTAACGAGATAAAGCACAAAAGCGAACGTATATTCTAGACGTCCACGGCTCTTTGGAAATATGGGATAATTGTTATCGATGTCCCAGTGTACATTTTACCCAGATAGATATTCAATAGCGATTCAACCAATGTGCGCCTCAGACTTAACGAATGATGTGAATCTGTTCATTGAACTTCGGCTTAACACAGTTTACTTACTTTATCCCACCATTCCAAGGACATATCCTACAGAGCACCCCCACCGCCACGATACCATCACTCCCCTCTTTGTCCTCCTGGCTGCCAACGCACCTAGACCCCGTCGCCTACTTCATTAAAGTGCCTCACCTGTCCATCTGAAACCGTTTGACCTGGTCCAACGTTCACTAACACTGGTCGTTGGCTTGTTCGCTGAGCTGGGCAATTTGGTTGCATGCAAATCATCACCAATCGAGGTGACCATCAGTGCGTAGTTATGCGTAGCGTAATCGTTTGCAATCAAATTGCCCAGCTCAGCGAACAAGCCAACGACCAGTGTTAGTGAACGTTGGACCAGGTCAAACGGTTTCAGATGGACAACTCTTTCTGCACTACATCCTCTTCTGAAAAACCAATGGCCGTGACGAAGTTAAAAGCTGCTTGGTTGAACACTCCTTCAAAAGTGTCCCTGAACTTCGTGCTCTGTCTCATACCCATTTTATGCCATGGGTTAACACCTATTTACTGACCTTGATCAACTCCAGTTACCAGCGTAGTCATCCCTCCCTCACATGCACTAATGCTTTTAAAATTCCCTGCGCTGAAAAGCACATCATGAGGGGCTTCGCCGATTTCCTAATGAGATCGTTTGACTCGCTATTAAATAATAATTCCAACAATATACGCAGAAAACGGAAAGGTGACAGCTTTTGTTTAACGCCAGGGGTCACTGTTTTCAGCGTGCTCCGGTTTTATAAGGGGACAGTCACATTCGCCAAAAACATCGCTCTATTGAGCAGTAAAATATACCATTTTATGTGTACGGTAACATACATTCTTAAAGATCAAGCGGCGTGACTTTTCTGATTCAACTCGACTGACAGAGTCTCCACACATTTTCCTGTGTTTTAAACTGTGCCATGCTGAAGCCACTTCAACGAACAAACTTACTACACGACGACGCACCACAATCAAGCCTGCACCTTTGATGCCTCTAGCAGACATTTTTATATCCAGGTTGTGATTCTCCAATCTGCTGACGGCTATCATACTCCTTCGTTTGAATGACAGCTAGGAAAAACTCTGCTAATTCGATGGACCCGGGAATATCATCGATCCAGGCCTGTCTTAATTTGCTGCGATTCCTTGGACAGTCGTAAGTTGACAACCCCAAATTACCCAACTAAGATGTTCAAGTATGTGGTTTTACACGGATGATGTCGGTAGAGCGGCTGCCATAGCCGTTCTGATGTCTTGCCCGGATTTCGACGTACTTCAACTATCTCTGGAGCAGCGTGTTACACGCAAACAAAAGTCCGCCCCAGCCCACTGAGTGTGTAACAAAACTGTTTGCACGTACTGCCCACAAACCAGCTAAGTGTCCGCACAACACTGTCAGTGATTCAGTATAACTCGATGTGCGCCGGACGAAGCTGGCGCTGGCTGTAATAAAAATATCCGCCAAAATTTAAAGCCCGACCTACTCCTTGATTTTGTCTGGCGATACTCCTACTGTTTCTGTGAGAGCCGTCTGCCAAAATAAGTTACGAATGGCTGCCTACTTCCGTGTCTGTGCGGACAACGAGGACGTAACCACTGTTCGCGCAGTCTTTCGAATATTTCTAAGTGCAACACACCATAAAGCACGAAGAATCAAACTTTCCAGCACATTTCACAGGCTCTTCAGGGAGGCAGCACGATGAGCCATGTCAGCCATTAAGAACGAGAATCCCGCAACCAACTTTGGCCACGAGTAAACTTTGAAAATTTGATTCATTTGATAAATTTTGACAGAATTGCCACCTCCTTAATAGATTTCAAGCTTTCAGATAAACGGCCTCAAATTATGTTACCTTACTTAAAAGTTTGCTTGCGTTCGAACCAGTGCTCCAAAATTATTTTGGGGTGCATCTTCGGAGACAAACACAAAATTGCGGGTAGAATTTTAAACTCCAAACACTCTTAGTTCCGGGTTACGAGCCCATATCGAGTTCCTAGACGGTAGACAAGAAGGCTTAGAAGTCGATGAAATCCTTGAATTTTCATCTCATATGGTCAATTTTGTTCAAAGTGTCGCAGCACGCGACCACTGATTATTGTTTCTTCGCTTCGAAGAAAAATCATTTTCATTGGCACGAATTCGTACGTCTGACCTTGGCGTTGTTCTGTATGAAACGCTAGGATTCGTGCTCGAGGGGAATAATCCCATGGTATGTCAAATTGTTTTAGATCCCCCAGATGGTGTTGCATGGTGGTATCGCAGGTAAACATTAGTTCAATTTTTTTGGATAGCAACAATGCATACATGTCACTAAATACTGAAATTGTCCGGGGATTCCCAAAATCATGTGAGTACGAAATGGACAGGATACGATACGGAACAGTATTATCGCTGGAATGCATGGTATCTTGGCAGAGTGGTTCTTGTTATTTTGTTCTCTCGCTGCTATGTATATGGGAACTTGCGCGATCCGTCTTCTATTTTGGCTGGCACAAGCAGTCAGCTTGACTTTCCATCGAACAAAATTGTCATTATATATAGACCTGTGATTATAATAATTCAAGTGAAAAATCTTGAATCGATCGCCCCATTTTGAATGAGACGTGTAGGTATTTCGGTGCAGACGGATTTTTCGGTCAAATCTACAAGTGTTTCTGAGCAACACCAGCCGACTCTCACGAGCTGATACTGGCCGTTTTCCACATCGGAAAATGGACTATGTCATCACTGACAGTATTGAAATAGTCATTAGCCTGGACCATTGACTGCCATAAAATTATGCCCACTTGGCCACGACTCATCGTAACGACGGAATAATTGACGAATGGCAACTCACGAGCTCGTTGCCACTGCTGGTAATACGAGTAAATGTAAATCCGCTCTGCAAGCGGAAGATGTGGGATAGGGTTGCTACAAATGTGCGTACTATTCACGTAATTGGTTTTTGTCCTGTTGCCCACACGCCTAAATGCAGGGTCACGAATGTGTCGCTGGATACTTGTCGCATGTACGTTGGTGTCGAGTTGAGATGTAATCTGTTTCGACAAAGTCGCCATCGCACCATAGGAGATTTTGTTACAATCCTCGACACTATGAATGAGTCGTTAACAGAATTAACAGGACGAAAAGGGCACTGATTGTTAGGTTTTGCTTGCATGGGTAGCAATAAAAGTAGGGGTCACAGCTGAGACGAAATCGTTTTCAAATGTTTAGTCTCGTAGCAGGATATTGTCCATAGCAGGCAGTTGAGCAAAAGAAACACATGTCTTGTTTCCGCACATACTATTTTAAACCAAGTCCTGGTCTTTGTTCCCCTTGTTCATCAGTATTGTTTACGACAAGGTCTCCTGTTTCCAGCAGACGCGTTTTCCAGCTTCAGGTCCAAGTATCCTTTTACTGGCAGGGCGCGTTTCCCTTCACATTTTGTTTTACACTCTTGATGTAATACCCATTACGAATAACCCTAGCGTTCTTTCGAATCACTACTAATTGTTGGAGGTTGCCAGCGGCATACGATGTGCATGAAAACAGAGTTTCGATGAGAATTCCAATGGGCTGTCGTCTGGGAGTTTTCTCAATTCTGGGGAATTTCCGTGCGTAATGTGCACTAGAAATTGCGTCCACTTCATCCATAGCTCTAACCCGCTTTCAACTGTGGATCGCATCATATTTAACTTTTCTGCCACGTTGGCGCAATCTTCGAAACCATCTGAAAGAATTTCAGATGCATAAGGTTCATATGTCCCCCTTGACTGACCTGGAACATATACAGGTGTAAAGTAGTCATCTATAACTTCAAATGTGTTATCTCTATTATTGTCCATCGCTTCATATAAATTAAAAAAACGTGATGCTCACCTACTCTCTCATGCGGCAACAAGGCTGGCAACATATTAGCAATTAATTAAGGCTGCTGCCTTTGATGTTGTAGAGAGAGTGTAAGGGAGGGCAAAGAACTTCCTAGTTTGCGGGTTTCCCACTAATCACCTAAGACAATGAACCTGGCGGTTCCTTTTATTGTTTGTGTTGTCTCCGATCCCTATTCGTAATAAACTGCTGCATTACTGTACGTTACGAGTTACCCATATGCCTGGCAATCGTTATCTGTCACTACCCATTTTGGACATGATGATAAGCGCCTGCATCGAAAAAATCGACGTTTTCTCTGAACCACTGACTCTCAAACGACACGTCCAAGTAACCATTGTCGGAAGCCCTTGGAATCAATTTCTTACATGTCGATTAACTAGTTCTGCCGACTTCATTGGTTATTGAAATTCCCTCAAAATTCCCGGCCAAACCTCCGTTAAATTCGATAACAACTTCCAACCGATCCCCTCATGAATCTCACCGGAGACGAATAGCGGTATCTTGTTAAAAGCGCTGGTACAAATTATACGAAACCCGCTACGTTCACACTCAATTGATCCATTGGCTTTTCAAATACTTTCACAACTATTGCCACTAATAATGGGATGCAGTTCAACGATAGTTCCAGGTCTGCGGGCCCAAAATCAGAAACATCCATCAAGACACCAAACAGACGGATGCGAGGGTCACTTCTAGACTGTGTGACTCTCTCCAATAATGCCGGTCTGTTTAGTACTATGAGTACTTCCATTGTACGAGCAACGCAAACGTAGCATATCCGATACCTCTTTGTCCGACGCAAACACACCTAACAAAATCGATCACAATGGCGAGTGAAAGTTCAGCTGATTGAATTGAAGGTCAAAATTGATGAAGCTGGTATGAATTTGGCAGATATCGTGAAGTTAGATGAAGGCAGATCGTAAATTTATTTGTTAATAATACCTATAATTCACGCCTAATGAAGGGTGAAACTAATCCCTGCAACACTGCTCATTTTTTCGTTCGCTATGAGAAAAGAAACTTCTACACTCCTTCCGTCGCTTCTCAACTCCAGCAATACGTGTCAGCTTCCACATCTGACTTGCTCGCAACAGACTCCATGTGTTATCTATCAGTGTGCCGAGCGAGTTTTCTTTTTCACCCTCACATTGTTCTGTGAAAATTCTTACTAGTTTATCGGGTGAGTTAGCTTTCAAATGCGCGTGTGCTGTCTGCGCTGGTCTCGACAGTAAGTCGACTGATCTACCTCGAACCATCGTTATTGAGCCCCGACGTATTTTGCCATAAATGACCCCGAGTTCACTCCCCGGGCTACAATGAATTCTGAAAGCTAACCGTATGTTTACTGTGAAGTTTAATGTACCCTCCTTGGAATTTGGCCATTTCCACCAACCTTCGTTTGTCTGCTGTGACATTCCCATAGCCATCTTTTCAATTTTTTCGCTTCCTTATCTTTGGTGAGTTTAATGCTTCTGTAATCAACTGGCACTCTCCGTCATTTCTATTTGTAATCACTTTCTAAGCTGTTCATGCACCACTCGGCGATGTGCCTCTTTTCCTAAGCAGTTGTTCTTTTGTGGAACAAACTCCTAGAAACTGCTCTGTCAGCCACCGACAAGCTGCTTGAAAGAGCCTCTCCTTCTTTTCAGAGGGGTTTGGCAAACAATCGAAACAATCTGAAACGATGACTTCCCAATCGGTCCCAAACATTTTCCAATTGATTGAAAAGCCTCTCCTTTTTTGTTTGGAACTAATCATTCCCCACAACTGCCCGCTCCCGTATAAGACGCTATATTTGTTTGGTCCGCGTATATGCACACGTCATTTTATATGTGCACACAAAATCGTACCATTTGGCAAACACATGTACCATAGTACATAGAAAAGTGTAATAAAAACACATTAAGGGAATCATTTACGTTTTATTTGACCGAAAATCACGACAGAGTTACTTGTTGTGTCAAGAATTTGGTGCCAATCCAGAAGGTACCCTCAACCTTGGCCAGTGGTCTCGTTCTATCTGCCAACCGGACATTTGAAGAAAACGAAATACTCCCAATAGGTTCGTAGTGTTTCTCATTCCTCTGCGCCAAAACGTTCATCATCCCTATACCTGACATTTCCATGCAGATTCTAGTTGAGGATTATGCCGGGCGGGTGAGTTGATGATTCTGCAAACACATGTGTCCCAGTCAGCGTATTTGATGGTGCACTGTTGCTGAACTTGTGAAACATCAGTTGGTTCCCTCTCAAAAAACATAAATATGGGCTTGTTTGTTACTCACACGTTGCTCTCATTAGACAGTAGGCTTTGCCGACCACAAATGGTTAATTCCTTGATGTTTTCAACCCCAGGATATCTATTTTCACAAACTATGGCAACACATAGCACACTGAGGAATTATACACCCTATCATTAAGTTGTATGTCTATGCATTGGTGCCATCAGACACGAGAGATTCCTATATGTAGCTGTTGCTCTACCAGTCTGCGGGCTTAGTTTAGCATACATGCCGTTAGTGCTGAAGTAGACTTCAATGTTGGTGAACTTTCGAGTGATATGTGATTTACGAATCTCCCCACTTCGACTGAAGCTCCGCTGAGTGTCAGACTAAGTAAATACACTGTCTTAACGAAGCACATAACTTTACGTTTCCGTATTGAGAGAACCAACCCGAAGCGAAGACCCATTGGTTTTTCAAATACATCCTTATTCCAAGGCTCACTACCACGAATCAGGAATATATAGTCTGCATATTCTGGTCTTTGAAGTGTGTATACTGACTCAGCACACATACTTTTAGGAATATCATAGATAATTAACTTTAATTAAGTCAGGACGAGATCAAGGGACGCTGCTAAACTTTTCCAGAGGACAGAAAAGATGCAAATTTTCTTGATAAGCACGAATAAACACGCAACCTGAAATTACTTTTCATCACCTCCAATAAACAATCCATCGATGGCACAGAAAGCAAATTTGATTACACAGAAGGCTGGAATAGCCGTGTTAAAAGTGGTTCACGCAAAGTAAATGTGACTAGCAGCCAACTGTAACTAGAATCAACAGGTTCTTCGCAGTTAGCTTTGCTCCTCATGGGCGTTTTCATTGTTGAGCGATAGCTTCAAGAAATTCAGCGGCAACTTTCATAGATCCTGAACAATAAATTTTATCGTAGTCCGGAAGTTGGCGATTACATAAATAGAGACGAGAGAAGCCATATATTTCCAGGTTCCAATGGTTCTCAATCCAATAGCGAGCGACTGTCCTTTGGATGAAGGACACCACAGCAGCTCACTTTCCTGATTGTGTTGTAATTTTTTTTCGAGTGTATTAAGTGCGCTACTGTCCCAAGATTTTGCTGTTCCAATTACTTATGGTTTGTATTATCATGAGCTTTCCCGGTTTACATAAACACTGGCGTTGATACCTAGGATAAAAAACTCGACAGTGGGTGCTATTTTGGGAGTTGTATCTCATAGAGTCGTTAATTGAGCTCATTAGAGAGGCTCCGCCGTTTAGTATTCCTTTCAAGTGTTTTCCAATTTATTTAATAATTTTCCAGTATGGAAGTCCTTCTTGCTTGTTTAGAACAAGTCCATGATCCAGTCCATATTTTGGCATCTTTGAGCCTTGATTGATTATTTTCTTGCTTTTCTTTTGCAGCATTTGTGCAGGTGACATCTCCCCATAAAGCACCTCATAGGAGGGCTTCCTCTGATTGCAGAAATTCGTACTTAGGGCACTCAACTAATATCCTTGTCCTCTTCAAACCCACCAGAGGTTAGCTAAAAGACGTTATGCTAGATAGAAGTCTTGATTTGTGTCGCCTACCAGCCTCTTAGGTACTACCGGTGGCGTTTGTTTTCGGATAGAGTCGTTTAGAACTTGAAATCTACATGGTTGCACAACCGGAAGGTAATTTCCAAATAATCGAAATGGTTTGTAAACGTAATACACTGCTTATTCAAACATTATAAACGAGAGGTTCAGCCGGGTTCCAGATGAGTATCCCATCAAAACCAAGTTGCTATGCAAATTAATGTATTTGTCGAAATCGAGATCGTTCTTATCTGATAGGCTGTAGATCCCTCGTTTACTCAATTCAAACTCAGTAGTCTGCACGTGTTCATATAGCTTCATTTCCAATTTTTATCAATCAGGGTAAATGTGCTCCAAACCGTCTTCTCTGCCTACAAAGCGTTGAACATTTTCCTTAGATTTGCGCATTGAGGTAACGGACAACTTGTAGAATTTGCTGCGTCAACCTGTTGTCGCACCATGTTCCTCCATTCTACCCCGTTTTCTTTTTACTGAAGCGGTAGAATTCCACGAGGATATCGGTGAGCTTGTTGGCAGTTGGTTCTTTTTACCAAATCCACTGTTACTCAGTTAGGTGTGCCTTCGTGAAGAAAATCATTTCGCATTTTCTCACCATCCGTATGGGTCTGAGCTACCCATGTAAGGTTCGTAGTGTAGTTGTGTCAGTATGTATGTGTTTAGACGATCGGTTTATGGATGTAGTTATTACGGTATGCACCGGCTCGAGGAGTGCAGTGAACCTATCTCGACTTTACTTATCCCCAAGTTTGGAACCATTCTCCACGGTTTCATCGATATTAAATAAACTACCGTACCTGTCATCCATATCATTTCGGTTGTGTTTATGTGGCTTATGTTGTACTACCTTTCAAGTCACCCAGTGTCCTCCTGGAAGCCCCACTGTCGATGGGCTCCAGCGTAGGTTCGATTTGGCTAGTGACAATAACCAACAGCTTCCCCGGATAGCACTTGAGTTACAATGGCCGCCTATCTATTGGGTTGGGTAAACCGTTGTCTGCGGCCTAAGTTATTGGCAATTTGACATTCGTGGGTTTTGCAGCTCAACAGTGTATGCTATTTTTCAGGATTTATGATACCAAGCCTCCTCAGAGACTGAAGTTCAAATACCTGAATGTATTGCTGGTTGTGGCGTTCCTGTTGTTGGTCGAGCTCTGATATAAAAAGAAGTGAATTCACCGGCCACTGGTTTTTGGGATCTTGTCTGGGAACGTGAGTGACTACAACAACCCTGAAGATATTGGATTCGATCGAACTCAAATTCATTGCCGTCCATGTTGGAAGAACATTCTTCTCATGAAGTGTCATGTTTTGGGGCATATTTCATTCTACCTAGTGAGCGTATTAGAAGTGCTGGGCGTTATTAACACTGATGTGAACGCACAGACAATGAGGATTACACCTACTTTTTCACGACAACTACTTACTGGAACCCAGAACTGTGAAGCGCTCTTATCATTGGCACTAAATGTGACTCGCACGTCACCGATGTCCCGAGCAGTTCTCCAGGTTGCAAGAAAATGGAATCGGGAATATTCGAGCTTACTCTGAACGTTTCGAATTAGGTGATGGAGGTGGGTTCTCAAAAAGTTGTCTCGCAGGCAATATATGTCGTGCGAATTTAAGGGTGCAAAGAGAGATTCCCGTTCCTCGGCGTGGATGGCTAATATTAGAAGCTGCAATAGCGATAGGACGTTTCGAGTCACGCAACAATTTTTTACTGGTCACTAGTATGGACATTTGCGAATATATAACTACAGCTATGAGATTGAAATTGTGTCCAAGAAGGCCTCGTCAAAAGGGTAGCGTGGCTTGACCACTCGAACCCACAAGACATTGGGAAGGTCCATAGTTTATATTTGGAGTCTCAAACCAGGCCTTGACGCACAAATCAGAAGATGCTGGCTTAGGGGCCAGGGTTTTAGTACACCAACGTACTTCACATTTGGAGGATGGTCTGTCGCACATATGCAGGAACTACTTCATATAAGTGCAACCTTTCATATGCAAAGCATCTACCAAATCATTTAGAACAATTTTTCATCTAGTGTAGCACGCATTATGGGGGTTCAACAATCAAGCTCGACTACCAAGTCAAAGTACCGGCTTCTGGTTGCACCCACCGAATGCAGTTAAGCCAATTATCAGATCAAATCAATGATTATTGACTACTAGTGAACGCAACTCAATAGATCCCTCTGAGTACAACCTCGTTCCGTTATTTTACGATCATGCATTCGCAGTGTTTACCCTAAATAGAATATCCATCACACTACTGTTTTAGCATGCCTTTCCAGTTTCTTCCTACCTCTTTGGACTTGAGTTTATTGATCTTGTGTACCTTGAGAGCTGTAGTGATGGTGTGACTAATGAAATAATGCACGCATCATTAAGGTACCCGTGATATTCGTCAGCGTGTCATGGGTACAATCAGGACTATTTTGAAGTCACACAGGTACGCCTATTCATCAGTTTCAATTCAGTTGCAATTTCTAACTGTTGTTGACAAAGTGCAAATGGCAGTTGTTGAGCTCGAAATGGCAAGATTGCGCCTCCTCGGCGAGAGACCACGTGATTTTGCATGCGTATAGTTGGAAACTTTACAGGACATGGTACACTTTGGCTTCTTAGACGGACCACCTAACCAAATTTTGTCTGCTATTTTGCAGTTCTCTTGTTTACCGATGAGGTTTGCAACAATGCTGGTCAGTCCGCCCCCGGCGGAATACCATTCCAACATGACGCTCAGATGTGTTTCCATTGAAGTTCTTTGATATCCTGACTATTTGCCCCTGACTCCTAGAGGAGGCTACTACTCTTTTCCCTTCAGTTCACGTTTTACTAAGGGCCTCCGTTGTCAAATAACTGTCAGGCATTAATATTCGCTACCACCAACTGCTATCCATAAAGATGATGAACGGACACTCCACTGTACGACGAAATTAATCTAAACCTCAACGCTATTCCGAACTTGTAGGCCTTGCATCGATCACATTTTCTTACCCTGCCAAATGACGCTGTTGTCAATGATGATGATGATGTCCGTCAGGTGACTCGGACTTTATGATTCTTGATTTGAAATCCGCCTTTGCTAACGCTAAGATTCACAAACTGTTTCCAAGGATAAGACGCAAGCTTCGTTCTGTTCTGGATCGGGCATCTAATTCTAAGATTTGATGCCAAATCTTGCCCTAAAAGTCTGCTTCAGCTTTCTATAGTAGTCATCAGGTCAACCTAAGAGTGAACATCGGTCTGATCAACTTGTTTACACCATAGCCGCCCACTGAACGGCCCTTGCAAGTGTCGTGCACCCAGCGAAGTGTAAGGGTGAGCGCACTGATCGACCAAAGTGGTGATTGCTTACTAACCCCATGAGTTATCAAATATGGTTTGCGGAATCAGAAGAGTTGTACTCGGTAGTCTTGGCTTAGAAGCCGATTGCCATTTCTGTTTTTGTGCGAGTTGGGAACGCGAGCGTAGGTGCAACGTTCATTCACTGTGACAGAATTATTCCTCTGAATTTCTCATGTATGACATTTTTAACTGACTGTGCTTCATAAAAGCCACCTCATGTATCCGTGAGAATGGCACCCAGGTTACAGAACTACTTCACTTGATATGACACCACTTATGAGATTGACGAATAATCTTGAATAACCAGTGTATGTCTCACCTTCTCAGGGCCTATCAGTTAGACTGTATGCTCCGTCTGAATAAAACCAATAAATAGTGCAGCACACTTTTCCTACTGAATCGAGGACCAAGAAATTCGGTCGTAAAAATTATTTGGATCAATGGCCTACCTGTTGCGAGTATTCTGCGTACATGTGCGGTTGTGGCCTTCAGATATGAGAAATACTGCATAGGATAAACGAAGAGCCACTCAAATTCCACTTAGCATGTACCTGACGATAGTGGTGATTTTGATGCCACAGAGTTCTTCCGCACTTTTAACACATTCTAGTACTATCATGACTTTTCATTCAGTGTGCTCCTCCTTGTTCGCAATGTCCGTAATGTTTTACGACGTTTTCCCGAATATTCATTCATTTTTAGGTTCCCTCTTGCTGTCGATTTATATCCACAGCTATCACACTTTCCTCATTTTACTGGCTGCCAAACAACACAGCACTGCGGCGATTTCAAGCCTTTGGGTTGGTGCTGGAACTTCTGGAGCAGCGTGAATATTAGGATACCTGTTCCGGCTTCTGTCTAGCTCAAGGCAGACTGGACATGGCCTGAATCCCCATTCTGTCATTTATGTTCCGAAGTATATTCAACTCCAGGCGTGTGAACAAGGCGCGCAAACGTTTAATATCGTCTGTATCCTCAACTGCAATGACAATTCCTGGCATTTCTTTTGCTGGACTTGAGCTACGCTGCGGCAACCAGGACAACCCTGGCTTGGATATTTCTGACGAATCTATTCGCGAGGATACTCCGGGATTGCACTTCGAAGTGGACGCCGAAAACTCCACCGTTTTTACGGAGGTTCCAATCGCGCACTCACTGCCTTCTGATGTTTCCATCGATTCTTCCCCGACCACATGTCCGTTTTCAAAAAAGCACCAGGATTCGAACGACGAAAGCACCATTCTTGTTGAACTTCCCTTGCCACAAATTATTCGCTTGCTAGTAAAAATCATGGAGCCCGATAGTGTGTTCGCCCTAGACACTTTGCTTCAATCAACCTCGACATCTGAAGCTGAAGTTGCAATATCAACCCGAATTGTTAGTGACTGCGTATTCCTAGCTCATTTCTACTACTCCTACTATTCTACTCGCCCTGCCTTGTTTGGTTTCACACTGCCACGATCACAACCTCTATCGATTCCCCGAGGCTGTGCGACGATCCGTCACTATGCATCCAAGCGTCAACTTCCACGAGGTGGTCGAGGGAACTCCTTTCGTGCATTTCCCGACTGCGATTTCTTTCAACTCGGCTTCGGTCGGGTCCGATCGAAAACGATGAAGTTCCTTAATTCCTTCGATTTGCAAAGATCCTGTGAGGTTTCCCTTCGTAGCCCGTCTCTGTTTTGTGTGGATCCGCTGTTTGCCGTGTGCAAAGCATGGCGCTGGCCCGATTTACGTCCCGGTGAATGGGTGCGGTAAGTAATCAACCAATGTTATAAAGTCTTTTGTGTACCTATTTCGTCTTGCTTAGCATTGCTTTTAAAAGTGGTGGGTGCGTTGCGATGGCAAATAATATGCCGCAAGTTCCTTCGATTGCTGTGGGACCGGACGAGTACTCTGGGATGCGGATATTCCTATTACAACCTCAGTTCGCGTTTGCCTTAGAGTCTTTCGGCGACATGTACGCCGTACTGGGTAGAATGGGGAAATATACCGACAGCTTTGCCAGGACATCTGCCGTCAAGCTTGCAGGATCTACAGGCATATATAGGTGGTAAACTAGTATAAATAACTGTGTTTATCACTGCAATGTCCATACCGCTTTCCTTCTCCACGGTGCATCTGAATTTGTGTGCATGTTTATGGGCTGTGTAATCCAACCTCAGAAAGCTCTTACCATCACGCAGATTTCGTCGTTTCGGCTTTCCACAACATCCTCAATTTTACGTATCCATTCCGCCTCGAATGCTACCACTTGTTCCCAACAACCGTTGCTTTCCGGGCGGCGGCGGAGACCTGAATTCACAGGTTCTGTTCTATAGGTCCTGTCCGAATAATGATGCATGATTGTGTGATGGTCATATCTCTCATGCACTGTTTACTTGATGGTCCATCAGAACATCGAACATCGAAGCTACTGTAGCCTGGCAGGTGATCACCGGAAAAGTGTGCGTGCGAAGCCGGATAATTAACTAGACTGCCCTAATGTGACTGGGTGTGTGATCTGATGGTTTCCAATCCGTGAGTACCTGAGTGCGACAACTGATTTGCCAATATTTTGTTCCATGTGTATCTTAAAAAGTAGCAATGTGTTGGCATTGAGCTTGCAGTTTTGTTGCTGGGATATTCTAATTTGTAATAAACACCGAGAATGAATGAATCCAGATCGAGGTCGATTAGGATTTCATGGGAGAATTTGTGTCACATAGCGTACTTTTGAAACCAGATGTGACATTGTGTAGTTTTTGTTGTTTTTCTCCCATTCTTTCGGTCGCCGCTTACAGTCTATATGAAGGGGTTTTGCAACCAGGTGGCAAAGACCAAGTAATACCTCATTTTGGGATATCTGTCACGGGTTACGATTGATCCACTCGTGCGATTAGCTTTTTGGTCGTGTGTACCAGTTGTTCCGATTGATGGACTGTGGTAGTGACACTGGACGCGTCAAGAATCGGAGCTCTCAGCTTACAGTTATTGACACAAGAGTCTCCTGCATCCTATTAGTGAAAACAGCGAAAATATGAATATTTCTGGCAAACATCAGTTGTTACTTAATATCACTGCAAGTAAATTGCGCAATCGATGGGAATTGCTAAAAAACACGAATTCACAACTGCGTTCACTGGCATATTAGTTTGATTAGGTTTCTGAGTGTTTTCGAGACGCACACTGTTGGCTAAGTGTTTGAGTCGTTGGTCACTGGTGGTTAAGGATGTACTGAGCTTGTTTCATACTAAAAACCAGAGTTTAGGCTGAAATCTGTTTCGAGTACAAGTATATGGATAGTCGAAGCGGTAGGTTTTTGGTACTCGATTGGCAAATCATTACTCCCGCCCTGTGGGTCGTTGTCTCAGCCGTCCGAGAAATTATTCATCTATACAGTGATTCAAACCACCCTGACGGTTTTGAGGTCGCTGCAGCTGCAAACGAACTGATGGATAACAGACGGCAGACTCCTTAACTGAAGAACAAAGCATCTTTGGATAGAAATTTCTCTGACTTGAGGGGAAAGTGCAATTTTGCTGCCGAATGTGTGATTTACGCGGGCCCGTAGTTTTTTGTTTATGCCACCAGCCATATGATCGTCCTTGATTGGCGGCGTCATGAATATTGTTTCATTTTTTGTGGAGGTGGCACACACAGTTTTTGGTGTCACACCGATGAGTTTCTTTGAGTACCTCTTCGGCATGACAGTCTTTTTCAGGAATTTTCCTTTCCTCCGGCATTCCGCACACGTGCCGGATATTCCTTGGTGTATTAATATAATGGGCTTGTACATTTGTCGGCAGATCTTCTAATCTGGTCAGCTACGAGCAGCTAACTCTTGTAATCGAATTCCAACAAGTACCATCCAACAAAAGCCGTTCGCAGAAAACAAACCAGTGCACTTTGACTGGCCGTACGAATAAATTGCAATCGGTACACCTGGATTTCATGTAGACCTTTCCTTTGCAGGGCCCATTCTGTTAAAAACAAAAGCTACTCTAATGTAGAACCGAGTTTCTCCCTCAAAAAAGCCATTACTTTAAATGGGTCTGGATGATCAAAGTGAGTTCCGGATTCGGTGGTGAATCGCCTTACTTTTGCCGACGTTGTCACCATGTTCAGGGGATTTTTAGGTGTTTGCTTCCATGATTAGGTGAATTCACTACGCTGGGATTGCATTACTTCGACATCCTTTACACTGGCGTATAGCGGTTTGTATGCACGCAACTCGCACTAGCATATCTCTATAAGCATACGGACATGCCACGCTGGATACCATGGCTTTTCCAGATACATATGACGGTTTGTAAGCTCCCACATTTCATCCCGGTACTCTCGGACGGCCCTCCGGCTAACTCACTTCCCCATTTTTCTCCATTTTGAGCTGACCAGTTTCTGGTCCACACGTTTCGGTAGACTTTGTGCATTCAGTTCTTAATGTGTAACACACTTATGACCTGATTATCGCATAGGACATTCTTGGACATTCTTAGAGCAAGACTGCACAACTGTTGGTGATGTTCGCGTCCCAAAGATACTCTACCAGTGCCCCGCTCAGTTTCAACACATTCCTTGAGCCTAGGCCTTAGAGCAATATTTTTGGCACAGATGTGACCACAGTTTGCACCTGTGTGCACCGTTTATGCGCCGAAAGTGTCACAGCTGGAAGGCTATTTTTAACCCCTGACGCTCGTTCGAACACACCATGTTTCCGAAGAATCGATGACACTGCACCGTACATTGGCTGATCGTACCTGACCGTCTTTGTATTCAACCATCTATCCATAATTTGCTGATACAAAGCCGTCTCTTGCCTTTTGGTGTCATGTTGAAGCACCGAGAAAGGTTCAGCGTTGAGCTGCATCACAACTCTGCAAGCACATTTATAGCCATTGCTGTTCCGATCCACCATGATTATCAAGACTGGCTTCATATGTAACTGCAAAGCTTCTCGTAAGGCCACGGGCCTTATTTGCAATAGTTAACTTTACCTGTTCCTGTCGCTCTGGATTTGGGCCACAAATCGCTTTCCACGGCATCGTATTTAGTACTCTATTCCTCCTTTTGTCCCTGGGAATTCTATCACCACGCTTTACGGCACCAAGTGGGTCGTAGTTTCGAATTAGGTCGCCGTCAAACGTTGCTCCGTGGCTGTGCCTTGGTGGTTCAATTCATTCGGTTTTCTGACCACGTCGGTGCGACGGCGTCAATGGATTTCCACGTGCGCTTACGCATGCCTTGGTTTGTTCCGCACTGCGCGAGTCGTGCGAACAGATTTTGTTTGTGGCTGGGCTGGTTTGTGTGTAGCTTTGTGTGTGTGTGTGTGTGTGTACTTGCATGTGCGCGTTCGATCCCTCGATGCCGCATCAGAAGCACATCGCACCTGGTGGCGCCAGCGAAACGTCCATGTGGCGTCAGCCCAGTGTGTGCGTGTGCCCACGAGTGCAATGGCTGGCTGTGTATGTCGGAAAAAGTGCATGTTAGTAGTTTACAGTGAGATGCCAGCTCAAAACCGGCTCAGCAGTAGTAATCTTGGTGAAATTTGTCAGCACAATTGCCGCCAGAAATCCCAATCTGCTGGTCTCTTATTGACTATTTCATTCACAGATGGTTGTAATCATCCCGTTGTTTATTAGCAATCGCACGTGCGTGTCTGTGTGTGCAGAACGGGGTCTGGGTTCTGCCAAGTCTTTCAATTGTGTTATACTGTATCCAAATCAAGCGTCGATTTGCTCGTTTTTTCTGGGTTTACTCGAATTATTTTTCCCAAGAAACCGGTTTACAAATTAACAAATTGGCTAACGCTCTTGATCACCGCACTCTGTACCGACTCTCACAATCATACCATCTTGGACGCTGAGCACTATTTGGAGAGTGGATTGACTTTGAGCAGGTAACGGAGTAACAGCGGAAAATATATAGGGTACGCTTAGTTAAAACGAAACGGTCGCATGCAGTTTTCTATCCGCTGGTGTTATTTGTTCTGGTCGATTCGATTGCACGTTTTAAGGTATGCTTTTCGCGATAATTTGGATAATGTTGGCAGGCAATTGGTAGAATGCAGTCAAATTTTGTACATCACCTTGCGTGTCCTTTAGTTGAATCTGGTATAACTTGGAGCTACCGAACACATCGCAATACTTCATTTGCATTCAGGAAGGTAGTAATGGTAGAGTAGTACCTATCACGTGTCACGGATCCGAATGAAAGACGCGACAAGGCTGTGTTAGCCACTGATTTGAATAAGGCCACCGTCGGTCTAAGTGAGATGAGCCGATAGCTCCATGTCCTATCGGCTCTCGCGGGGGTCCGTCCACCGGGTCATCATACGCGATGCGTACACCACAGGTAATGAACAAAACTAGGCCACCGCTGTCCCTTCCATCCTTCTGGATTATCCATTCTCAACGCTCTCGCTGTCCCGTTTAATGACCACTCGTCTGTAGATTTAAGCCGTAGACGTGTCAGTCTTGAATTTAGATAAGTGACTACTAGCGCCATGTTGCTCAACTTTACCAGTTGGCACCCGATCTTCGGACTTCGTTTATTTTTTCATCTCAAAAAATGTACACACTGAAGTAGATCGACCAACCAGTCGCTCTCTTATAAAAAATTCACATCCACGTTATTCTGGCCTAGACTTGGTGCAGTTATTCTCGGGAGTCCACACCAGTAAATATTTGCTGCTTTCCGAAACTGGAATACAAGTACTGTAGCAGAAATTACGGCAGCTCCATTATCTAGACACTACCGCCAATGAAATCCGGGTGGTTACGCATGTTCATTCGAGTCACGCGGGCGGCACTCTACTGTAAAAGGAAGAAGTCCTTCGCTGCGGAGTTGTCTATAGGAGAAACACCAACTGAACAGTTGGTGAACTGAACAGAACCAACATTGACTGTTACTCAAATGCAAGGAAATGCTACAAAGTTACTCCACAAATTCCGCAATAGATCTCACTTTTCAAGAGACGCGAAGCGGGTTTACGAAAAAACACTACTCGCATGCCCCATCAGTAGTATCCACCGTGTCTCCGTACTAACAAACAATCTTGGTGCCAAATTTAGCACCTATCTATTAACATCCGGTAGTGAGTCTCTGTTCTTGACTATCGATCTACCCGGACCTCAATGACTCAGCTCGTCTTCTCATTCGATATAAATTAATTTTCCCAGGAGAAACCTGAGAAACAAACTCTTGATTAATTTTTGATCTTTCCTGAGGGTGATTGTGACCGGAATTCGCTTGAAAGCCTGACACATGATCCGTGCTCATGAGTCGTGTCCGCATCGTCTTCGTATCCAATAAACACTTCCGTGGAGTTGTGAGGACACATAACCTAAGATGATACCGGTGCTCTACAGGCCAGCCAATAGTGATGCAGATTTGAAAACCATCTTGCAGTCGATTAATTAGACCTTTCACCGAACGCAAAATCCGTTTTTGATTAATTCATCTTCGACACTTGTTTAGGCAATACTGCAATCAAAGATTGACCGACCCTGGTGCTGCCGAGCTAATCAGATGGTTGACGAGTCAGGAGCCCGTATAACTAAACATTCAATGAAGTATGCAAGGAACGGCACACGGTACTGTCTGTGATCCAGTAAATGCCCATTTTCGAGAAATACACTAATTTGGTTTTCACGAGATACTCAATTGAGTTTCTCGTGTATTTCTCGAAAACAGTCCAATTTGGATTCAAGTAGAACATGAGGTTGACAGGAACTCGGGGACTGCGCCTACCAGATGAGCCCTTAGAAGGGCGAAACCGGTCATGGGCTGTCGAAGAGTTTCCGGCAACCTTGTGAGTAGTTTAGTTTATGAAAATACCCGTTTTCTTATATTAATAAGCTGGGATTTCTCTGGAGCGAATTGAGTCTTTTCTTGATCGATTTCCGGAACACAGCAGTCACACCTAGAGATGGACAACTTTAGTTGCGGTTACTTTACTTCTCGTAATCATAACCTATTTGAACATGTGACAGTGAATACACTAGGTTTTGGACATCGATGCATCCTTTCTGTTCTGGGGTCTGCGCGTTTCTCTCCAGCGTGGCAAGTGGCAATTTGGTTGCACCCTACTCAGTGCATACTGCAAATGAAACAACCCGTTTCCACTAATTTTGACAAACAGTTAGTGTCCCTGCGTGTCTGTACACATTTATGTGAAGCTGAATCTGGAATAACACTTCGCCTCGGTCACATTTATGCTAATGTGTGGCGATTTGTGGTCGAGCTGTTAAACGATGCTTTGTTTTGTTTGTTGACCATGATGACAGTGTTGTTGTTGTTGTTGTTGTTGTTGTTGTTGTTGTTGTTGTTGTTGTTGTTGTTGTTGTTGTTGTTGTTGTTGTTGTTGTTGTTGTTGTTGTTGTTGTTGATGTCATTTAGTACTGTGGTGCTGATGAACAAACCATCTGAGACTCTTCCGTATGCGTGTGTTTACAATGCTGAAACTGTTGGCCGTGTGACAGACGAGCACATATTTCCGTAGATTATTACGCCAGTCACACCTGAAAATGGTCTTCACCGTTCGAAGTGCATGGCTTATAAACCGGTTTTTTTTATTTTCGCCCCGAACGAAAACCATTACTCTGCCAGATTGGTAATCACCAA